TCTTATCATCATTTAGTATTATTTATTTATTATTTTATTAGTATTTTTATATTCAACATTTATATATACTGTTTTTAACATTTTTATCATCTATGAACACTACAAATAATAATAATAAAAATTGAGATAAAAATCTGTGTCTCACAGTAAATCTCAATATTTTGTTTATAATAATATGCCAACAATGTTAATACTGTTGTATAATATGGGTGGTTCTGCCCTATAGAAAATTTGTATACGGAAATTCTGTATGAATTATAGTTTTTATTGCTATGAATGATTATTATAAAAGATACAGAATTATTCAAAATTTTTGTATATAAAAACGTTATAATGAGCGCCAACTGCAAACTGTATGTTGTATATGTCATGTTAAGTTAAATATGATTTTCGATTAGGACGAAAAAGTTTATAATATTTATAACGATGGAAATTAAACCTGTTTAATTAATCGTTATCATCATCATACTGTTTTCTTGAACTTTTAATAATTTCCATATATATAACAGCTGCGAGCACAAGAATTAGGAACATCAAAATTTTCTTTCCAGTCAGGACCGTCAACAAGCTTAGCCTCGACACCTAAACCACATTTAGCAAACCCTTCCCAGATTTCACAATTATTTTGTCCGATAGTTAAAATTCCATCAGCTTGCGAGATTGCATCTCTTGCATTGATAAAAAGGTTAGTGGTCTACATGGTTGAAGTTCGTACCATTGACAAACAACTGATTGTCAAATAACGTGTGCCATGTTTTGGAATTTTATGCCGTCGCTTATCGATCTTTCATACCAGCTGTGATCTTCATCATCTGATGATGAGGACCAGGATGGTGTGAATCCAAGTTTGTCTACAAGAGCGCGAACGTAAGCATGCGTGCATAAATAAATATAATTTGGACGTATATATTTATATCATATTAATATATCTACCCTTTAGCATGTACACCCCAATATCCTGGTTTATTCAAATAACCAAAGGTTTCAGAATTGACGATAATATATATATAATATATATGATAATGATAATGATGACGATGGAAATAACAACAAAATTTCAAAAAGAAAAAAATCAATTTCAATCAAGTAAATTACTCACAAGGTAAGCCTTTAATACCCTCACCACCATTTGGCCATTTGCCCATACCAAACTCTATAGTACGGTTATATTCCTCTTTCATAAGTAATATGGTCACAAAAAAGTCATCCCAACCTTCTCCAATACCACCAGCTTCGCCCCGTTCTAAACAACCACTATTTACTGGTCCGCCTGTTAAACCGGTTAATATGTTAAATGACTCAAATATGATATTCCATTATTGGGGCTTGTTGATAATGATCAACGTGGTAAAAATCGTGGATTGTCATTATCAAAGTTTTATAGAGATGGATTATCATTGGTAAAATAAGATAATTGATATAATTTTAAAAGGTTTTCTTTCTTTTGATGATAAAATGGATTGATGCATATTATATTTTTTCTTTTCTAGGTTCTTCATGACTTTGTGTTAATATTGTCTTTTTATTGGTTATAATTTTTCGTTCTTCCTGGTAAACTTTCATAGTAATAGGTGATCTCTCTTTCTTTAGATAGTTCAAGTACTTGATTGAAATTTTTTCTAATGGTGTCGTTCCATAGTAGATTAGTTTCATATTTATATAGGAACTTGAGAAAAAAAAAATATAATAGGCGGGACATTATTATTATAAAATTGTGTTGGGTTTGTCACTCAAAATCATTCTTGGTCCTTTTCCATTCTCTCGCCCCATATATTTAGTCAATGCAGTCCAGAATACAAGAAAGATCTTGTAGATGAATTCTGCTGGTGGGCAGGTGCTTGTACCATTTAATCAACCAGATAATCAGGAAGATGTTGTTGATTCGGAATATAACCCCATTTTGCTCATCTAGATCATTTATTTACTACGAGGATAATAATGAGTTAGGCCTTGCCTTTTGTGGGTGTTTACAAAAACAATATATAAAGCTCACAAATTCTAATGATTTTGACACGTAACCATAAATTACAGATATTGCGATTGTGTTTCATTTAATATCACAATCATTTCTATTTGTTGGTATTGTTCCGCTTACATAAATTTTGGCTTATAATTTAAATAAATAAATAAATATAAATAAATAAAATTTATCTCATGGTAACCTAATATTTGTAAATAGTATTAATCAATTAGAATCGTTATTATAATTAAAAATATGAAATATTAAACAGAGCATATAAAGATGAAAACTCACAAGTTCCTCAGCTGCAGTAGGATGAATTGCAACAGTACTATCAAAATCTTCTTTTGTGGCACCCATTTTAACAGCAACAGAAAAACCTTGCAGCTGTTTTAATTTTTAAGAAATTATTGTTATTGAATGATGGTGATAACAATGAAAAACAACGATAATAATAAAAAATTTATACAATTTCTGCTGAGTCTCTTCCCACAATGTGAACACCAACAACTTTTTCTTCTTCACCGACAACCACAAGTTTATATGCTGTTGCAGGTTCTTGATAAATTAAACAAAAGGAAATGATGATTAATGATGGTAATAATAACAAACATTTAAAATAATTAGGAAAAAAAACGTACTGTGTTTTGTCATTGAATTATATAAATTTACAAACTTAGAAGTATAAGTTTTAACATTCTCTTCTCCATATTTATTCCTTGCTTCTGGTTCAGTCAAACCAACTGCTCCACAAGTACCGTGAAACACAACAGTTGGAATATTGTTGTAGTCAAGTTTAGCCTTAGCAAATTTTGAAGGACCAAATAAACGATCTGACAAACGGCGACCAGCTCCAATTGCAACTGTTTTTGTTTTAAAGAAAAATTATTATTTGTCACAATCAATGTAAAATAGTAAAATTTAAAAAAAAAAATTTTTTTTTTACCAGGAGTCAATTGAGCAACACCACAAACATCACCTAAAGCATATATGTCTTCTACTACAGTGTTTTGATATTCATCTGTGTAAATATAACCTTTTTCATTCAATTTTATTCCTATATGATCTAAATTAAGACCCTCAATATGTGGTTTTCTGCCAATAGCCCATAATATTACATCAAATTCTTCCGTTGTTTCGTTTGTTTCTTTTGAAGAAAGTTTGACTTTTAAGGAAGAACCTGGATTGTCGCGTGATACACTGTGGACATGAGAATGAGTTAAAAGACGAATACCCTCTGATTTTGTTTGTTCTAAAAGGACATCTTTGATTATAGGATCAAAGGTTCTTAAAATTTCACCCGAACGAGTAACTAATGTAGTATTTGTGCCTATTTATATATAAAAGTTATTTAATGAAATTAAATTTGTAGGAATGACATTTGAAAATAAAGCCCATTTTTTTTTCATATAAGATGTTACCTAAAGCATTGAAAACACCTGCTAATTCAACACCAATGTAACCTGTTCCAACTACTAAAACTTTATTTGGCTGTTCTTCAAGACTAAAGAAACCATCACTTGTAATTCCAAGTTCGGCTCCAGGGATTGTATCAACAGGAACATGAGGATACCCCCCTAAATAGAAATGCGTGCGTGTGCATGTAAAAATATAAAAACGTATTATTAGTAAATTATACAACAAACAAACAAAGCTGTGATATAAGGAAGAGATTCATTCTACCTGTAGCAATTAGAATTTTTTTAGCTTCAACTTCCATAACATTTCCTTGATTCACCACACGAACCACATTTTTGCTTATAAAACTAGCCTTTCCATGAATATAATCGACATTATCTTTTAAAAGATTTCTCTCGTAAATCCCATTGAGACGTTGAATATAAGCATCACGCTTTTGTTTAAGATAATTCCAATTAAATTTTGGAACAGAATTTAAATCAAATCCGTATTGTTTTGCATCATGTAATGCTTCAGCAATCATAGCTAAGCACAAGCATAACAAACACACACAACACAAACACACACATATATACAAGTTATTTCAGTTATAAAAGATTATTAATTCATTTCTATTGGTTGAAAAGAGTAACAACTTACCAGTATTGAACATGATTTTTTTAGGAACACAACCGACGTTAACACAAGTACCGCCTAACCTACCACTTGACTCAATCAAACCAACTTTAGCACCATATTGGCCAGCACGTCTTGCTGAAGCCAAACCACCACTTCCGCCACCAATAACCAAATAATCATATTTCTTGTCAATTACTGGAGGCATGAACGAAAAACTTTTATAAAGTTGTAGAAGGCGGTTTTTGGTAGACACGATGATGTATTATAATTTTTTTGTAGGCGAGAGAAGAGGAAAAAGATATAAAATATGATTTTTTTTTTTTGATAAAAATCAAAAATTTTTACATTTTATTTTATTTTATTTTTTTTTTGGATAAATTTTTTTAAAAAAACCCCCTTTTAAACTAAAATTTAACCCCCAAACATTTTATACAAGTTAAAATATATACAAATTAAAATATTATTGCTGACCACGTGCTTGTTTGAAACGGTTTGCACGATCTTCTTCAGTATCTAGAAATATCAATCAATCAATATATATATAATATAGTTAATATATATAGAATAAATAATTGATGAAATAAAATAAAATAAAATAAAAAAAGAATGCATACCACAAGTGATAGAAGTGCCGCGAGAATTAACAAGAGGTAATACAAAACATTTCAAGCCAGCTGCACAAGATTGTAAGGAGAATCTTGGTTTTACAGAACCGTCTACAACCGTGTCAGTACATTTAGCAAATTGACCATTAATACAAGCGGTTTCATTTGGTGAACATTTTTGATCAGGTTTGAAGGTTTTGAATTTTTTTTCTAATGCATCAGCGTCATCAGCATTCAATTTACGAATTTTGGTTATGTCGTTAGGCGTTGATTTTTTAGGTGATCTTTTGGATGGATTATTACCGGCAGTTTTTTTACTACTACGAGCTTCGTCCAATCTTCTTTTTTGTTCCTGTTTGGTAGCTATAATCAATAGGAAGAGAAGAAAAAAGTATGATCAATTAATTAAAAAGTATATATATATACAGTACAGTCAGTATATACAGTATATAAACATGTAAATATACACGTACCACAAGTAATGGATGTGCCACGTTTCAAAACCAAGGGTAATACAACGCATTCCAAATTACCACAAGAAGTGGTGACGAATTTATCAACATTTTTACCATTTTCTACTGTAGTTACGCATTGGGCAAAATCTTTGCCAATACAAGCTTCATCATTAGCAACGCATTTTGTATTTTTGGTAAAAGATTTGAATTTCTCTTGTAATGCTTCAGCGTCATCGGCATTCAGTTCTTGAATACTTTTTTGAGCCGATGTACCAACAACATAATAAAATGCAAGAGCTACCGAGAAAAGTGTAATGATTTTCATTTTTAGATTTTTTATATTGGAAGAAATGTAATAGAGATCTTGAAATGCTACCAGAGCTATTATATGTTATTATGTTATTTATAAATAATAAATCAATATAAACAAAATGCCAGATTCCGTTTGTTAAAAAATGCTTGGAAAGTAGGTAGGGGATGGTTAAAGAGAGATAGGGGAGAAAAAATAGACAAATAATTATTAAAAAAAAAAGTGTTGTTGAGCCTACATCGAGTGAATTTATATAAATTGTATACAATAACAAATAAATATATTGTACAATGTATATGATTGTCTTATTGGTTTCGATGTGTTTGTTTGTTTATCTTGTATGGTAAAACATTAAAATTAAAAACTGGTCCTACTTGTATCAGAAAATCTAAAACTGTAAAAGTCTGGATGCCAAGAAGCGAAAGGCCGTTGTCCAGATCGTTCAGGCGGGTTAATGTTATACTATATATTAATATACACATGTAGAAAATTTCTTAATATTAATATTACTGTGTATACACACTCAATAAAAGGGTTTTATCAAGAAGTTCACTCACTGTAACGAGCAAAATTTATTATTGGGAACATTCACTGTAAAGCCATTTCCACTGTAACGTAACGAACTTTGATTGTGCATGGGTGGAGCATACTGTAACAAAACCAAATAGAGCATAAAGATTTCAGGGTTCAAAACTTGGATATTGACAATGTAATTTAACGACTCTATTATAAATAATGAATGAGTGCTTTCTTTATCTTTGTTTGCTCGATATAGTGAATTTTTAAATTGGATGTCTATGCAGATACTTTCTAAATTTGGATAAAATTTTCCTGTGTATTTTAATTAATTGCATTATTCAAAAAACCTTTGTTTTATTGGATTGGCAATCAATGTAAAATAAACAAACCCCTTGTATTTACAAGTTTTTCGCAATAATAATTTAATAAAAAATGATGCTTTCAACTAAAGATGGGGGCTGCAATTAATTGAGAAGCCATCTTTTTTACTTTCAACAGGGTTGTTCACTATAAAACTTACAAAACCAACTATGATATCAAAAAGTTGAGTTAATTACTGCTTCGACTCCAAATATTTAATCGACGATCTTTCAATGGAACAGCGGGGAATTATTATCATATTCTCTGATTGCACAAAAACAATCCGATTACCTCGATATCTAAATTTGAACAGACGTCCGAATACCAGAATTTGAGAAGGTGTCCGAATATCCATTTAAACCCAAATGACTTTAATACACAGAAATTTTGGCATTGCTAAGGATCTACTTGACAAAACGGATATAAATCAAAAATTTATGCTTGTGATATAACGAAAAAAAAAATTACTATCGCCATTCAATTCATATATAATCCATATTGTCGATTGAATATAAATGTGACAAGGAGATGATGATGATGATGATGAAATTATATTTGGTCGAGATCCTTGCCTGTCAACAAATTATTATATATTACCGTTACCATTGGTTTGGGTATACAGTGTGTTACAAAAAAATGGAATGAACGATTTTTGTTGGAAATATGAATATGTTAATAAGAAATATTTCATCGTTGCTTTTAATTATAAGTTGTCATGTTTGATTTTTTTGACCAATTATAATTATTGTTGCCAAAAATTTTCAGTGTGGTGCCACGTGATTTCAGTAGTAATCTTGTTTCTACCATACATAAGCCACATCACCTGTTCAACTTATTGAGAATAGAACGTATTAGTATTAGTATGTAATTTGGCGTAATTTACGGCGTCCCTTTATTTCTAATAATACAACTGCAACTCTATTATCAGAAAAGAATGTAAAAAAGGTAAAGCTTTGGAATCTTATTTGATGCAAATCAGACCACAGAGAATGTGCAATTTAGATGTGCACTTTTGGAGTCATCATTTCAAAACCATCATAACTCCCCCATAAATCTTTAAAGCATCGCAAATTGAACAATATTTCTTTAGAGGTTGGAATCGTCCAAAAAATCCTTAGTCGACTACTAGTTTGTCAAAAATTTCTTTAGTCGACTAAATTTTTTTATATATATAATAATATTTCGTTCTTTTTTTTTTTTAACATTAATTTGCAAATTACGAATTTATTTCCATTTGAAACTTTTTCAAAATACTTCCACACAAAACCATGTGTTACGATTCGTTTTTTTAAAGGTCTTCTGGAACCACCGCTTAAATCATTGGAACTTGAAACCAATGAACTATTGGACCATGTATTGGAAGTGCCTATTCATTCACATGTAAAATTATTATCAACAACACACTACTATTGTCGTCATCGTAATATCGATGGTACTGATACTCTTCCGCATAGAAATTTGTCATTTTAAATGATAAAACACAAAAATCGTAAAGACAATAATAATATTAGTATATTATTAGTATTAGTATGGTATTAGTATTAGTAGTATTAGTAGTCGACTAAATAATCGACTATTAGTTGTTTCAAAAAAAAGTTTAGTCGACTATCAGCGGTCAAGCATATTCGTTTTTCTACAGGCGGAAAATTTTGTACTATCATTCTGGATTCTATCTGAAGCCTTTGTTGAGCTTTCACGGAGGTAATTCTTGTCCGTAATTGACTTTGTAAAATGTAAGCTTTGTACCGGCAACACAAACCGCATATAGTACTAGCGGAAACGTTACCTGCCTCCCGTCAAGACTAGTAGTCGTGTGACATATCCCTGAGGCTGCTTTTCTATATTAATATGTGAAAATAAATTCGAAATTCGTGTCACATGAAGTTTTGTTAAAATATCTCGTTATTTTTATAATAAACTCGAACTTTGTTGTTAGAGTAAAATGAAAATACTCCATTATAGCTTTCTAGTGAATACTCCTTCATATTGAAAGGTCTTTTCTACATGAATTCACAGCTATTCAAAACGGTATTACTTTTTCACTTCAAAGCTCAGATTATTTCTCAATATCACTTTAAAAGACTTGATAATAAATGAGAAGTGTAGAATATTTTAAGCTTTCATATGGTCATTACTTTATGGGGGTATTGGTTAATAAGTTTTAGAGAGGTTCACAAAAAACTATTTT